ATATATATATATATAGAGAGAGAGAGAGAGTTAAGTTTTCTAACTACTTAAACTTTATCAAAATGTCAGTGAATATATTTTTCTGTTGTCACATAACATTGTTTTTAAGGTTTCCTGTATTTGAGTTTTCTACATGCATAGGTATAGTTCATGGTCACTATTGTATAGTATACCATTGTATGATACCTCACAATTTATTTTGTATTGTCAATGCATGGTGTTTTCCAAATATTTTGTCTATTTTGCCATTACCAGTACAGCTGCTCTGCAGACTTCATTCTTGGACCTGTCTCTTGGGCATGTTCAAGTGTATATGTGGGGTATATATCTGAACTTTTAACACTGAGTCATAGAGTGTAGAGACTTCAGCTTTACACAACTGGTAACACCAAGTATATCAATTTATACCCCTCCTTCCCCCAGCAATGAGGAAAGTTCCAGCTCTTACCCATACCACACTTGGTACTGTCAATCTGTTGAATTTTGCCAATTTATTGGGTATAAAATAGATTTTCATGTAACTTCAATTCCCTAGTTACTTGGTCTTTGCTTATTTTAATTCCATCATTAATAACATTATTTAGTAACATAACCATTTAATTAATACATACTTATTTTGTTTTATAGTCCTTGAGCACATGAATTTGCTTACTGTCTCTACTGATCTTGCTTACAGTATCTTGCTTATGGTGAACTTATATTTGGCTGATATTAGCCATTGGGAATCCTGAAGGAGCTGGCTTGAGGATGCTTTTCCCCAGATGAGATCTGTATCAGCTCCTACTCAGTGCCATCAACCTAGTTTGGCTTTAATTTAATTTCCCATCTTGGGGTTTCTGATTGTACAGTGTATATTCAAACCTCAGCCTCATGAGATAATTATGGCCTCAGACTATCACAGAAGATAATTACCATTATTATTAATACCAATATTATCATTATTATTATTTTCCCACCTGCTTATGGGAAAGGCAGAGAGGTTTACCTAAAGGTTTCCTAGCCAGCAGTGATTTTCCTAGCACAAACCTTCCCTAAGGGTGCCACACCTGGAGGAATGCAAAATCTCACATCTAGTCCCCCATTTACCCTCAACTAGTGCAAATCTAGTCTCTGCTTCTGCCCACCCCACACCTTAGGCAATCATTACACTAAATCTGTAGGCTCCTGCAGCCAACATTTGCCTCCAGAACCACCCAGGCTTCACTTATTCCCTGGGTTTTTTTGTTTGTTTTGCTTTGTTTTTTCAGTAGACTTTGTGTTCTTGTCTCAGGGTCCAGAGGCAGGTGAGGGGTAGGTGTGATTCTTTTGCTGTGATTTACCTAACACCTTTGTGTTTCCTGGCAGGAAGATCTTCAAAGAAATTTTAACCTACTGCATTACCTGAAGAAGAACTACTTGGAATGCTTTTAAAATACACTCTTGAATGAGCATTTAATCTCTAGAACAAAACTGAATAAACACCAGCTATCAAGTTTTATGCCAAGTGTTTAAGACTGTGATTTTTAAACAAAATCACAGGGAGGCCATGCTGCTTCTATTGAAAAATGAATATGCACACATATACACAAAACTTAAGCATGAGTTTATGGGCATTCTTGACTGTATCTTTACATAAAGAATGACTTAATCAGTACCAAATCACATTTAAGACAGGGTGAAAGTGGAGAACACTGACTTTGCAATCAAATTAATCCAGGTTAAAATTCTGATTCAATGCCATCTCTCAGGCATCAAAGTCCAAAACAAGGATGACATAATCCCTGATTCCTTCCTTCTCTTTACTGTGATGCCCTTGTTTCCTTCCTCTCTCTCTTCTACTTGTGGTATTACAATTACACATACGTTATACCTTCTATAGCTGTCCTCCAGTCCTTGGATACGCTATTCCATTTTTCTTTTCAGTGTTCTTTCTCTTTGCTTTTCAGTTTTGGAGGTTTCTATTGATATATTCCCAAACTCAGAGATCCTTTCTTTAGCCATGTCCAGTCTAACAGTAACTCCATCAAAGGCATTCTTCATTTGTTACAACATTTTTTATCTCTAGATTTTTTTTTCTTTTTTAGACTTTCCATTTCTCTGCTTATACTATCCATCTGTTTTTGTATGTTGTCTACTTTATCCATTAGAGCAGTTTGCTCTGTCTCTTCAAGTTGTGTTTTTGGACTTTTTTAGTATACTTTATAATTTTTTTCTTGATAGCCAGACATTATGTACCAGATAAAAGGAACTGCTGTAAATTGGCCTTCTGTAATGTGGTGGTGAGGTGTCATGGGAGGGAAATGTTCCACAGTCCTATGATTAGGCTTCAGTCTTTTAGTGAGTCTGTGCCTCTGGACTGTGAACTCCCAAGTGTTTCTCAGTTGTTTTTTTTCTCTTCTCTTAGGTGGGACAGGTAGCCTAGAGTTGTGTATTTCCCTTCTGCCACCAGAAGGCTGGAGTGTAGTATCTCCCTACCCCTAGGTCAGTTAGGTTCTATTAATACCCTTGCAAATTATGCTCTGGTTAACTAGCTTCTCCTGAGGGCAAGCCCTGTTAGGAACAGAGGATGGCAATTGTGATGAGCACCAGGTGTTTTATGTAAGTGCTGAATCACTAAATTCCACACCTGAAACTAATAATACACTAAATGTTAACTAAATGGAATTTA